AGCTGACAAATGCTTCTTTGATTCTGCTGCTCATTGGCATCCAGATATCTCCGGATTCCTATCACAAGAGCAAGAAGGTCGCGGATCAGGCATAAGTTTTCTCCGGCCGTACCTGGTGTGCTTGCAGATCACATAACCGCCTGTGAAGTCGAACATTTCATTCCTTTTTCGAATAGAACTACGCCGGGTTCAAGACTCAAGATGTTCAGGGGTTATTGAATGGCTTGTGATGGCACCCTGTTGCAAAGGTGACTCTTAATCTCGTCCCTCCGCCAGGTTTTGAAGTGGTGCGAGCTTTCCGGCGCAGAATGTTCTGAAGCTTAAATCACTGTGAAGTTTTTCAAACCTCGCATGGAAATTGATAGCAGAAAGAACACTTGTGGAATTGGTGCTCCACTCGCATGAGAGGTGCCATCATTCCATCGCCGGATGTTTTGGTCTACACCCTTGCCAAATATGCAGAGGAGAAGCAACATCCTCAGAGTGCAGCTGGGCCCAAGTACTGGGCAGAAAGGCACACAAGTTGGTTGGCCCTTCCGACTTCTTTGCAAGCGATCGCTATTTCTGCTGTAAGGGCGGGCTCTTAGGGCAGGTGTGTCCCTGTTTCTGAGGACTGGGACGTCCGTGACATTCCACCAAATTCACAATGATGCTGTGGACAATCAGCAACTGGGCTGGAGGAGTGGCGGACTGCAGGACCTCGCTGCGGTTACCTTTTACCTGTCCCAGGTCTGACAAAGACCTCGAAAAGGATTGGTTCCATACTCAGCACCGCGCTGGACCCCTCCCATACGCTTTTCTTCTGTTTTGGTGTCTCCCAAGGACAGTGACAACACTTCCAAACCGCCTGGGCCCCAGGAATCGGTGTACTGCCGTCATACTTGCGTGCGGACGAGAGCATGTGTATATATAGTAACACGAGCTCGCCTTGCCGTACATCATGACCCTTCAACATACATCATGTGCCAAGGCTGCCGAGGTTTGAGCTACATTGTAATTGTACATCCTAATAGCAATGGCCTCCAAGTTAATAGCGATATGGCCTCCAACCTAGAAGCGATGGCGTCCAACGCAATCTGCAGAAGAACAATATTAATGCAGATCCACTTTTTGGTATCGACTAGCTTGGCGTGGAGGATGCTCCGGTATTTGCCCCGAACCAGATTGCCAAACTCTGTCCCGCAAGCAACGTGCTACAGCTGGCAACCTTTCCAGTCTTGAGTAGCGCAGAGACACACATCGTTCGGAATAAGCTGGAAAAGATAGGGGTGTGTGCCTTTGTGTCAACAGGTTGGCATATGAATTGGAGGTGTTTTGGGCGATGCCATATTCCATGCAGAGGTTGGCATCGCCCTCCTCAGGTGAGACATCGCCCTCCTTTGAGCTTCCGGAGCCCAGTTGCCAGAGATCCCAGACATGTGGGCCGCGTATTGCATGAGGCCGAGGAGTGAAGGCCTTTCTGTGGCACTCGGCAGGAACCTAGATACACCTGGACCTAGTAACTTAGTAGGGACCCAAATGCAGATCACCCGCTGAACCACCTCTTGGTACGTGAAATTTGGTTGCTATGACATAGATGGTTTAGGGAGAGTGTGGTTCCATGATGAGGTTTATCAGTCTATTGTCCTCTAGTCTTATGTTCGCCGCGACAGCCATAGATACAAGGAGCCAAAGTATTTTTATAAATAAAGCAAAACAAATTAAAACAAAAGCAAACGTAAAGTAAACAGAAAAGCAAGAACATGTAGCTTTGTGTGTGTGTGTGTTGCTTTTTCAACTTAATATTTCTGACGGGTAAACGTTCTCATAAGTGAAGACGTGGTACCAGGAAAAAACAAAAAAAACAAAACAAATGCAACAACAAAGCAAAGCAATGCAACAACAAAGCAAATTGCTTGGCTTTTGCATTTTCATTTGCTTTTGTTTTGCATTTTTCACCTTTAACATTTTGATGGTTGGTCATGTATGGCTGCCATTGCTTAACATAACTCCAGTCGAGTCTTTTTCAATGGGGGGCGAACATGACAAGCAGACAGGGAGTTCATGGATTGGTGCCAAGGTTCCTCGAATGGGACGAAGCAAGCCTGGGTTGCCTGAGTCTGTGACCCAAGCTTCCACAACAAGCTAGAAACCAATACTGTAGCAATGGCCTCCAACCTACAAGCGATAGCCTCCAATCTACTAACTAGCTAGAAACATTCGAGTGAAGTTGTTGAAGCTTTGTGAAATCAAGCCTTTGTATCTTTGTGCCCCCGAACTTAGGCAGACACGAAGCGCACCTGAGTGGAGCTGCAGTGAACAGCGCTTCAACAGCATAAGCACCATGTGTTTCTACACACAATTGAGAGCACAAACAACTCTATTTTCATTTTGTAGACGCCGCCATCAAACAAGAATCATGATGAATGAATGTTTGTTTCACGTTAATTAGGGTTTCATCATCATCATCAACATCATCATCATCATCGTCATAATCATCGTCATAATCATCGTCATCATCACCATCACCGTCACCGTCACCGTCACCGTCACCAGCATCAGCATCAGCATCAGCATCAGCATCATCATCATCATCATCATCATCATCATCATCATCATCATCATCA